CAGACAACCTCTCGTCAATATGCGTTTTTTGCATTGCATTACTGCAAAAAACGCATAAAAAAAGCGATTCCTCAAAGACAATGTGAAAGAAATTTTAGCCCTAATACGGGGTAAACTCTAAAGACAAGCTCGAGGCAAACTACGGGGCATTTAATCTTCACTGTAGCGGTTTCGAGCAAAGAAGTGGAATGTGGGTTGTATACCATCTCTGCAATCTGGGGGTGTCAAATCAGAATTCGAAAAGGCAGGTGATAAATTGGAACTCCGATGGTAAATATTTTCGAGTTTTCGAGAGTTTCTAAAACTTTAAAATACTCGAATAATGCGATGCATCCAGTAGCTTACCGCAGATTCGCCAGTAACTGCCAGCTTAACTGGCTTGTCACATTTACGTTTACGCGTTCCATATTGGCTATTTTTTCCAGGAGTCAGTTTCGGTCCCGATGGAGTTGAGGTATCGCTAATGGACTGTGAAAGTGGTGAATACTTGCCCACACTTTCTTCGGATGAGCCGGCAAAATAGGATATATTATCCTGAAACAAATCAAAATGCAAAACGATCCAGAAAATCCAAAATACCATTAAATCATCACACTGCAGTTACTGGAAGGTTTCTCAGTTGGCGAAACAAAAAGACAGGTTTTTGATTAACTGGTTGCACCCCAGCCCCTTCCCCCCCCTTCCCCTCCCCCGCTCTCTCCCGCCCCCTGTTTGATCCAAGCACCTTTACATATGAAAGCGACAATGACTTCAGAACTATGAAAGTGCGGACACTTGACACTCCTGCAACTTTTATGAGGCAACAAGACGCTCTCTTATGCCACCCTTGGCACCTCTGCGTCAAAAATGATGATACTGTAAGATCTTTCGCGACCTCTACGCTTCCGTCATTTCAGTTAAATTCTTCTATCATGGCTACCGTCAGAAATGAGGGAATGCGGTAATTTGAAAGAACACTACTGTTGCAGGAAAACGTTGCCGGTCTAGCTAAGGCGTAGAGTTTTCACCTAGAAGCTACGAAATGAATCCGCTCATTTTCTTCACAATTCCCCGCTGCTTGTTCGTGCATGTCAGCAGAAAGAGCGGCACCTCAAAAACAATATTAAAAAGAAAGCAAATTTGTGGATACCATTCTAGGAACAGAGCTATCGCGTGAATTATCACCGCTGAAAGAATCAAACTGCCTCTGCGTAGCGGAAGTGTGCAATTTCGGGTTCGGATTCGCCGAATGTCTGTTCCTGAAATTTTTGAGCTGTTTCGCTGTGGCGCACTGCTAAATTGTAAAAAAATTTGACGAAAAGATATAAATAGAGGCAAGCATTTGGGAAACCGATGCGATCACACGTTTTATGCAGTTCTGTCCAGCAAGCAGCATCTGCTGTTTAAAATATTCATTGTTTTACAGTTTAATATGCGCAAAAATGCGAAATTCCATTCGCCCATGCGTGAAAAGTAGGTGTGTATATGAGAGGCAGATTTGAATTTGCAAATTCGCCCATGAACAAAAAAATCCTCCAGTAATTTTAGTCATGTTTCGAGCTGATATTCCCCAGGTAAAATTTAACAAGAGTAAATGAAAGATGAATTTAAAGTTCTAGGCAGTCATACTGAATTTGCAGCTTTCCATCCTACACATTCCTGAAGGAAATTTGGTGCCGAAGCTCGCACGTATCTGTACATGAGACTTAGGTGTAAGTAAAAGCTAAAGTCAAATTTCTGGCATCGCATTTGGGATTGGAGTATTGCCTCAAAATTTCAACTTTCTAGTCCTTCTGTAGTTAGTAATTTCGGCACCAAAGTTTTCGCGTGATAATATACGTAAAAACACAGACGCACATGAAGAGTGAATTTAAATTTGTGGAGTTGCACATGAACAAGAAATATTCTTGAAATTTCAGTTTCCTAGCCTTAATAGTTTCCAAGCCGAAAACCAGGCAGAAACGCACTTGGACACAAAAACACAGACAAGCAGGGGCGTGATAATATGCGTTTTGTACAGATCGTACGCAGCGTAAAACGTATAAAAATTAATGCTCAACAAGAACTGTTGCTTACTCGTCCGTGCCTGCTTCTAGAGATGACTTTAGCCTCTCTTACTAATAGCATTTGGTGAAGTCGCAGTTTTTTGGTTCGATCAAAGGAACTTTAAAATAACTAACTTGTTAGCGTGTCAGAACCATTCCTAGCAAGGTACGGAATTTGGTTTGCGACAAAATTTTTTCATTGCTGAACTGAAATCTGGAAGAAAAGTGAAACAGACCTGCTGCGTCTTGACGAGAACATCATTTCGCATCCATCAACTGTACACTTATGCATCTCCTTCAGATGCACTGCGCTGTTGTGTATCTTTAACGCTCCCTTATCGCAGAACGTTTTAAAGCATTTCATGCACTGAACTCGCCGTTTGCCATTCGCTTTTGCCACCTGGAACTAATCACTGCTTCAGTCAGAGCGCCGAACTCACTATCTCAGAAATCATGACTTCCTGATGCGTTCGTTTTTTACTGCGACTACATTCTGGATTGCTAGCACGTTACAGAAACAGAAGGGCGTCGTAATTGTTCTGAATCCTGCGAAGCGCACTGGTCATTAAAAGGAAGAAACTTATGCCAATGCTTGTTTGACTATAAATATGCAACGCTCCAAATGCTTATTTCAAACAGACTGAGTATTGTTGTTATCTGACATACAGATTAAAAAAACGTAATGACAAAGTAAAATCAACAGCGGCGCGCACAAGGGCTGCTGGTGCGATTATAAGCTTTGCATGATTCCATCATGCAGAGAGATCGCTTGGGCCAGAATGAGACTGCGGTGTTGCAATTCGAACATTTGGTGCACCTATACGTAGGATCCCTGCCTAAGCAAATGCTCATTTTATGCTTGCTGACCCACTCATGTGCAGCAAATATTCTCGGGGAAATACTTGTTCCTGCTCAATCCCGTTGTCGAGTTAATTGGGTACCAACAGTGTCCCAAACCAAACGTTCATTTGGGTGCGCGAGGCCCAGACTTATTTTAAGGCCGAATTTGAAATATCCTGATCACACAGCGACATAGAATATCCTCATAAGGTTTCAACTTACCGTCCTGTCTGGTACCCGAAATTGTTTCCTGCCAAAGAATCCACATTTTTAGGCGCCCTAAGTAAGACTCAGGAGTACGTGAACGTTGATTTTAAGTTGTCCAGATCGTATATGGGCTAAGGACATCCTTGTAAAATTCCAGCTTTTTAGCTTCTGCGGTTGCTACGCTGGATGTGCGTGATAAAAACTCGAACACACACATACACAGGCTGACAGCCTTTGGACAGTATGCGTTCTTACATTTGCATTAAAAACTAGCATATTTTGCATATTCATTTACTGTGAAACCGCAGCAGCTTACTGCAAATACCGCGTCAGCCTCCTGGTGTGCATTACTGCTTATTAAGCTGTGGTTTGAGTTAATGTGCTCTCGACGACAGTGTTTCGGTTCGAATTTGCAGCTAAGGAAATACGTCGGTTTTTTTTCAGCTATAAATAATGAAGGTTTATGTGAGATAATCAAGACTCAGTTGGCTTTCAGAAGCTTTCTTCAAACATTCCCTAGCAGCGGAAGCATCAATGGGGAACCTGCAGGAGACAACAGTGTCATTACATCAGCCGCAGAGAAACATTTCTTTTTTATGCATTTTGTGCTGTGTAACAGCAGTACAAAACGCATATTGTCACGGGGTCTCCTGTGTGTGTATGTACGTGTGTACCGGCAGCAACCTGTTCGCAACTTTCAACTCGGGAACTACAAAAGCTAGGAAGCTGAAAATTTAGGAGAACGTTCCTCACTCACGTGCGACCCTGCAAATTTAAATTCAGCCTCCCTGTACCTGCTGGTAACACGTACGGCCCCGTAAAAGTTTGGGCGGGTAAAATTATTATCACGCGAACCACGGAAGCTAGAAGGATGAAATCTTGTGGGCATGTCCCCCAGCCATATGCTACTCAGAAAATTTAAATTCACCCTTCCCCTGCCCGCGGGTAACATGTACGGCCCCGTGGAAATTTTTGACAGGTAAATTATTATCTCGGGATCCACGGAGTCTAGGAAGCTGAAATTTTAGGTTTTGACCCCCTAGCTACGAACGATTTTGCAAATTCAAGTTCAACGTTCCCGCGTGTCACCTACGGGTCAATGAAAATTTTTGCGGGTAAATTATTATTTCGGAAACCATAAAATCTACAAAGCCGAAATTTTACGGTAATAACCCCTTGCCCACGTACGACCTTACAAATTCAAACCTAGCTTTCCCGCGTTCTTGGGTATCACTTACGACCTCGTGAAAATTTTGGCGGGTAAACTATTATCTCGGCAATCACGGAAGAATATTCACCCTTTAAGGTTTCAAATTCAGCTTTCATGCGCCGGTGCGTGGAATTTTTAACTATTTTTTGACGTATCAACTATTTTTGCACAGACTAAAGTACAAAGCAGTGAAAATCATTAATAGGCAATGGTTCGGTAGGCGAAATTGCACGAAACGCATGACCGCACCAGCTAGTCTGGTGAGCGTTGCTATTTTCTGAAAAGTGAAATAAGAGGATTCGAGTGAAACATAGATGAAACATAGCGATACTTTTCGTGAAAGTTACTTATACTTGATGGAATACCTGAGTGACCGTTTTCGCTTTCAAATCACCGTTTTCGATGCACGGGACAGCATCAAATTTAATGATACCCTCATCGATCACGGTCGTCTTATTGTCGCGCTGCTCCTGCTCCACATCCTTCCCGGCAATTTCATCTGCTTCATCAGTCGCCGCCTCTGCCGATGTTGGCTCTTCACTTGCCGACGCTTCACAGCCGCTTGTCGTCGATTCGGATACTCGAGAGCCTTAAACTATTGCATTACACTCCTCAACCCAAGAATGTTTTCCTACTTTGAGGAATGACAATTTTGCTTTTCTACCACGGGGCAGAATTCTTGTGAGTTCCATTTCGTCATCAGCTGAGATGAAGGTGGTGCATTACAGAGCCGTACGGACATCCAGGTGCATGGTTATCGGTTTTTTGCATGAAGTTCGGCCGTTTTTCGGTAAATGCTCGCTTTGTGAAAAAATGACAAATGCAAATTTTTTGAAAAAATGCAAATTTCCAGTTCACAAAAAAGTGGAAGTACTGCTCGAACGGTGGTTCGTCAAAAAATGCACCTTCATTTACATATACGATTGCGGTTAAGGTCCGAGCTGTGAACAAATTTTTTAAAAATATGCAGATTTTCAGTTCATTGAAAAATTGAAAGTATTGCTCGAACGGTCGTTTTTCAAACTCGGGCTGGAACGCACCAGGCGAGCCGGTGCGATCATGCGTTTTTGCACCAAACTTGAAATAATTAGGT